AGCACGAACGCCACTGAGGTCGGCTCCTTGCCATATCAGCAAGTGTGTCCAACCAAACGTGTTCATCGTCTTTCGGACCCCAACCAGGGAGCCGAGACGCTCCAACCGAGGCCAGCTTCGAAGTGAGGGTCTTCATTCCTCTGGACCAAGTCATCGTTTGGCCACCCCTCCTCTTCTTCCATCCACACCCCCGGCGCGCAAACAACACACGTCGCGGAAGTCGGTGGGCTAGCATGCGTAACACGTGGCCGAGCCATCGGAGCCTGATGCGTGAAATAACGGTGCTGAGCGGTTCAGTTCCTTTTCCTGTGCCATAAACAAGGTGTCGAACACGCTCGTTACTCACGCGGTGTTCCCACCAAACGTGAGCTAAATTACGAAGGCACCGGTGGTCGAACGTAACCAGCCTCTTCAGGTCCGCTGCTTTAAGCGGCCAGGTTTCACAAGCGTACAATAGGGTCGAACGTACGGCTGCATTGTACACTCTACCCTTCAGGGCAAGAGTGATGTCGCGCCGGCGCCATAAGTGGCGAAGGTTAGCAAAAGTGCCCCGAGCTTTTGCTATACGATTCGTGATTTCATCTTCAATCCCACAGGCACTGATATAACTTCCCAGGCAGTTTTGAACGACTTCTAGCTGATCACCACCAAGGGTCAGCGTAGGAGGCGGTCCAGACCAATCTTGGAGGAACGCTTTGCACTTCGAGTGTGCGAAGCAAAGCCCGAAGTGACGGACAGCTAGTGCTAATCTGTCCTGTGCCGCTTGGCACGTTTGTGAGCTGTCACAGATGAGGGCAATATCATCAGCATACTCTAAGTCAAGAAGTCGTTCTCCTGGGAGTAGCTCCACACCTTCCAAGTCGTGTCCTGTGAACGCGATTTCCATGACTTCGTCAACAGCGAAGTTGAAGAGGAAAGGTGACAGCGGGCATCCTTGTCTCACGCCGCTGGAGATATTAAAGGGCGACGACAACTTGCCGTAAGCCCTCACTCTGCCCGAGCTACGAGCGTATAATGCTCGGATAATATTCACATATTTCTCGGGTACACCTTTCCTGAGTAGACAGTCCCAAAGTGCATGTCTATCCACCGAATCGAATGCACCTTTGATATCGAGGAACACGACAACGGTGGGCCGCCAATACATGTGACGGTGCTCCAACAACTGACTCAAGGTGAAGATGTGGTCAATGCAGCTATGACCTCGACGAAATCCAGCTTGCTCTTCACGAATCTGGCTTTCACGAGTGCCGCATTCCGACCGTCAGCCTCCTTTGAAAATTGGGACTATGATGGAGCGGCTCCAATCGGTTGGGACAGTTTCCTGCTCCCACAGTCTCGCTAGTAACTCGTGTAAATCATCCACAAGAGCAGGTCCCCCGAATTTGAAAAGGGCTGGAGGAAGGTCATCTGGTCCCGCGGCTTTATTTAACTTCAACAGTTTGATCTCATGTTCGACTTCTGAGCGAGAGGGTGGATCCAAAGGAACAGCCCACGGAGCAGGGCGATCACTGGTTGGCGAGAAATCTAACAATTCCGACCGATTAAATTGCCTTTCAAAGGGCTCAGCCCAACGTTTCAGGCGTTTTGATAAATTGTGGATGGGCTGTCCACTCTCGTCACGTATAGTTTCACTAACACCAGGTCTCCTGCTGCCCGTTTCCCCTTATCAGACGGAATAACTTACGATGGTTACCAAGGGCAGCGGCCATTTCCATCTCTGTTGCACGACGAGACCACCAGGATTCGCGGTCTCTCTTCAGGCTAGCACGGTGTTTTGCCCGGAGCTCTTTGCGAGTTTCATTGTGTTCGCTTCCAGCCGGAATATGCCGGCGAGCATCTATAAGTTCCAAAGACTGTGAAGAGACCCAATCTTCATGTTGGCGATTAGACATACCACATGAGGATTTGCCTGCTGCTAGTAAGGCCTGTTGCATATGAGACCAGTGAGCGTTTATCCAACTCGGATGACAGCGTAATTTGATAGGCGTTCAGAACAGCTGGATTCACCAGTCTGCCGGTGTCAATGCGCTCACAACATCGTCGTGGGCGTCCGCCAAAGCGCATCCGCAGGTCAGCACATACAAGTGCATGATCGGTGTCAACACCTGTGCTCCAAAGCGAGCGACAGTTCTGGACGCAGCCTCTCCATCGGTAACTTATCGCAATGTGATCGACTTGCGTCCAAGGATGGTTCGAGGCTGGTGGGCGCCAAGTCACCCTCCGGCGGGTGCTGTGTCGGAAGTTAGTGCTCGCAAGAAATAAGCGAGCATCCTCACACAAATGAAGTAACCGCTCACCGTTATCATTACGGGAGCCTACACCATGTTGGCCGCCCAGATGCAGCTCATCAGTGGATAATTTTCCAACTTGAGCGTTCAGATCCCCAGCCAGCACTACAGTGTCCGAGCTTCTTCTGTGGCGAAGGAGTTCGTTCAGTTGGCGATAGAAGCCGTCTTTTTCCGAGTCATCGCTACAGTTTGTCGGTGCATAGGCAGCGATAACGAATAGACACCTGTTAGTCCTGTGCGACTTCGAAGTTTTGAACGAGCCAGCCAATCGGACCGCACACATCCGGCTACTGATTGGAATCCAATCAACCAGAGCAGTTTCAGCCCGGGGACTCAGGGCAATACCAACACCGGCTTGGCCGGTGCTCGAAGCTGCATCGTCACCGGATAGGCGCAATGAGAAAGTGCTGCTAGTGTCACCTGAAGGGGATCGCAGAGTGAATACATAGCTCGAGTCTTGCAGGCGGGTCTCCGATAAGCAGCAGATATCGATGGAGAGGGTCTCTAATGTTCGGGCAAGTGCTGACTGTTGACCAATCTGAAGCAATGTGCGAACATTGAGGCATGCCAATCTGAAGGAGGATCGAGGGCTCCAAATGGAAGCAGATGAACTGGAATGGGCCGCTTGCTTGCACATGGGCCTGTTGACAGTGCAAGAATGACGCTCTGCGTTCACCTGTGAGTTGAAACTAAAAGACAAGCGACTATTGAAGCAAGGTGGGGGAGGGCCGAGACTTGGGGGGTTGAAAACAGGGGGGATAAAAGTAAAGCTGGAACGGGACGATAAGGGTGAAAAAGCGCAAGAAGGGGAATAAGAAGATGGGAAGGCCTGAGCATTAGCATCCAAACCCCTATCCACCCTGCTCGATGCAGCAGATAGAGCACCGTTGATTATCCTCTGCGGTGGCCAGAGCATCAGCAATTTGTTTGAAGTGCGATTCATCGTATTGCGTGGGCAGAATACTGTCAGGTTGCGCAGGCCTAGACAGGAGAACGATTAGGGTTCTCAACCAAAGCCTTTGGTTCAAAACCTGGCCGCAAGGCAGCGGGTTTGGCACTGGACTACAAGGAGTCCGTTTTAAGGAATAAGGAGCCACCCTCATTCCAACCCCCAACCTGGAGGACCAGGAGGCTGAGTTTGTCTGGCCTCTAACCATTGACCAATCTGGTATGAGTGGCTCTGAAGGCGCAAAAGCACCACCCAGCATAGCTCAATGGATCACTGAGGCACACAAACCATCGCACCACGGTAAGGTCCAGCCTCATTGCGATGGACTGCTTTCAGTGATCCTGGCTTATAATGTGTACAGCTGCTTCCTGGTGATCGACTTATTTTATTAGCAACAAGAGATTTCCTCAATTACTGGCAACTCACGAAGGTGCCAAGCAGCACTGTACAGATTGGAACTCGTTGTTAACCGTTTCGGGTTGTGTTGTGTACCCTCGAAATGCAAAGCTCCAAGATTGACAGGGACTACACACTGCACTGACCCTTGGTAGAGGATCAACTGGACAGTTTTAGTAGCGCCTGTGGAAAAGAAGTGTACTGTCAAATCGAATAACATAGACCCGAGGCGCTTTTGCTCAACCTCCGGTGTAACACGACTTTCGACCTGAAGGGTAGGGTATACAACGCAGCCATCCGTTTAAAACCCTTCGGTATGGTTGTGAAACCTGGCCCACCAACTCGGCAGATGTAAAGGGCTAATTGTGATCGACCACTAGTGCTTTCGCAGTTCCGCTAACATCTGCTGAGAACACCGCGTAAGCAATGAGCCTGTTAGTCGTCTTGTTTATGTCGCAGGAAGAGGGAGCGAGCAACTCGACACACCGTTGGTTCACGCACAAGGGTCTGGTGGCTGGGTCATGTGTTAGGCATGTCAGCTCATCGACCCCCGCGACGTGCGTTATCTGCGCGACCGAGGTGTGGGGGAAGAGGGGAGGCCAATAGATCATTTGGTCAAGGGAAATGAAGGCTTTCACTTCTAAGGTGTCATTGATTGGAGCCTCTGAACTTCCTGATCGAGGTCCCAAAGACAGTGAACACTTTAGGTTGGATGCACTTGTTGACAGAGCGAAGAGCCGATCTCAACGACGTTTGGAGTTCCTTTGTCACTTCCCTCGCCGATGCATGTTATATGGCGAAGCACAATACTGTAATTTGCTTTGGTCTGTTTTTCTTTTGTTAGATTCTTTTTTGCTATCCTGTTATTGAAATAAATGATAGCATAGTAACTGAGTCGTTTTATCCCTCTTAGCTAACGTTTGGATTGATGATGGTGTTGATACAACATCCATCCTATTTTATAGTCTGAACTTATGTAGAAATTGCTACAAAGACATGATCCGGTTGTTGCTTTCCTTCTTGCGTGCCACTGTCCAACATTGCTCGGCCGTTAAGTTGGGGGCGATCATGCAACTTCTCTCTGTCATACTGTCACTAGTCCTTTGTCTTTCCTCCTTTATCTTATATTGTTATTTTTATTCTTATCATGATCATCCGAGTCGTAGCAACGACGTGTTGGATTAGCATCACACTAGCTGCGTTTTGCTCACAAATTCCTTAACACTGCTCACGTCCGCTCTTTCGCTTCACTTTACCACATCTTGTTCAAGTGAAGAATGGTCAGAGTTTTTCATTGGCATTGTCTTCACAACCTTTTTCATCTCGATTTCATCCCCACTGCTCCACTTGTTTCTCCGCTCCAGGGTCACCCAGATAAAGACGTACTCTTGGGACAATGCTCAGGTCGTACTAGTCGGGAACAAGTGCGATTTGGCTGATGAACGCGCGGTGTCTGTGGATCGAGGACGCGGCTTGGCTCAGCAGCTCGGTGAGTTTCCTCCCTGTTTTTGTTTGTCCGTTGTGGCTTTCGAGTAGTCGATCTTTGTGCACGGGGGATCATTGTGCGAGATACATGTACTGCTTCCTAAACTCAGTGAAGTTGTTTGTCTGTTGGTGGAGGGTTTCGGTGTGGCTCTCTCCTATCCCTGCACTCAACGACCGATGGTTTCGTCTTTGTTTAGGCTCATCAGGTAGAGATAGCCTAGCTGGGAGTGTTTGTCTGTTCCTCCAGCTTCTTGTCTCTCCCTGACTTCCGTCTTTAGGACTGCAGGTTGAATTGGCACTTTGGCATCCGTCTCCGGCCCACTGACCTACGGGTTCTACTCTACCAATGTGTTTAGCGTATCTCTCTTGTAGTATATTACTTACTTAGATTGCAACCTATATATCTCAGTTTTGAATTTCTTCCTATTATTTTGAAGCATTTGCCTATCTTGCACAGAAACAACGTGGCTTGAGACGAAATCGATAGCGCACTACCAATCTACTACGATCCAGCTGAGACGAGGCATTAGACAATGGTGCAGGGGTTGGTATAGTCAGTTTCCGGTTGAACCCACCTTGCTACGTGTTCCTGTATTTCAGAAGTCAGAGAACTACCAGTTCTGCCCACGTAACTTGCTCCGCAATCACATGAATTGGCATATTCAGCGCGGTTGGCCCCGATTGGCTGAGCTCCTCCGTTAGAGTCACCGGCAAATTACGAGTTCGATTAATGGCTACAACTTAGGCAGCATTACAACTTCTCTGCATAGTAGGGATTAAGCGTTTAGTGGTCTTCAGCACAGTGTAATCATCTTTGAGAAGCAACTCGATATGGATCTTTTTTCTGGCTTCCATATGCACCAAGTCCTCCGGGCCACGCTGTTGGCTGTTTTACCCTATAAATCTCTAAGCATAACCATTCGCCATGAATGTTATTGTAGCTAGCTCGTAAACCTGACAATCAGCGGAGTAAATTCGTCTAGAACGACGGACTAAAGTTTTCTTAAGTGTCCGCTTGTATCGCATTGGGGTGAAGCTGGCAAGATGCAGGTATTGGCCGGTCCATATTGCTTTTCTGTAGACCAACCCCTTTATAAGCCCGTCATTCCCGCGGCTGATAAAGATGTCCAAGAATGGCAGACATTTCTTATTTTCCACTCCACAGATGACTCGAAAGTTGACATGTGCACCGTTAGATTGCTCTAACAACTACACAATCTGCTGCTCCCATGAACAAAAGACCAAAATGTCATTTACAGAGCGCTTACAACATGACAGCTTGGCTACTTCTGTGGATATGCCTCTATCATCCGCATCAAGAAGTCGGCGAGTGCAGAACCTATTGGATAACCCATCACCACCCCATCGATTTGATTTAAAGGTGTGTTCTGAAAGTGAAATCTAACATTTTCAGTACACAGCAACAGTTGTTATTGGTTAGCATAATGCTGCAATGGACATAGAGGTGAACATTCCCTTATTCGCTTTTCACCTAAATTTTCTTTGGCCACACCCGTAGATGGGTGTATACAGTTACATGTCGTTTATCGTTAATGGTACTGGGGAAATAATACGAAATGCATGCTTTTATCAGCTTTCGTCTTTTTACTACTTTTCCAATCACATAACTGTCATTTTTCTACTTGCTCTCACAAACCCCGCGTTGTACACAACACCTTGGCTATGTTTATATAATTGAGGGTACGGAATTCAAAGATGGTACCTAATCCTCACACCTAGCTACTCATTTGAAGTATTCACAATATATTTGTACAGCCAAAACAACCATGCTGTACAAAGCCTACTACGATGCACCGAATGGACGTTTTAATTAACAAAACGGAAAAGTGAAATCCTTCAGAAAACAGATTCTCCATATGTGCACTATGTACACCTGGGGTAGCTTTACATGGGGACCGTAACGGATTTTAAGGGACTCCAAGCTGGAGTTCAGTCACAAATGCGGCCGTCTGGAATGCCACTGGAATTTCTTTTCTGTACGTGTTTGTCCTCTCGGAATCTGTCATCTATGCATCCACTCTGCTAGTCACAGCCCGGGGTTGACCTAAACTCATTTCTCTGAACCATCTCACATGACACATTGCCTCTTGCCAAACACGAATGCTTGCTAGAGATTTCAATGCCGGTCAGCTCACAGAATACGTTCCATCTTTTTCACCTGTTGCATGTGTTCACTAGGAGGTGACACTGCTTATACAAACATCTGTTTGTCGTCATTTCATGTAGATCTACGGTTTTTAATGTGTATATCTCGGTGAGTTCATCGGTATAAACTTTTCTGATACCTTTTCCCTACTTTGCGACATTCATCCTGACCACCTTACGGGACTTGTACAGCCGTGGCTTTTTTATCCGTATTAAGCCATTGTTCCGCAGTAACCCCATCCTTGCACGGCAACGGGGCATTCATACACAGTACTGGTGTGCGGCTGGTTCTATTTATTTTCCTCACCCCTGAACCCTCTAACTCCACCAACTGCAAGCGCATCAGTACACGGTGGTCTACACTTCACTATTGTTTATGGAATTCCTTTTCTAAACACGTCTACTCAGCTTTTGGGAAATTTTCGTCGGAATTTGTTTGCTTTCTTATTTGTTAATTGTCTTCCGTTTGTGGTGAACTTCCATGATCCATGTCTCGGAAGAATTCTACCTGTGCCTTAGTGATTGTGTGGGTTATTGAGGCGCTCTTCTCATCCTCACTTCCGTCCTCATGATTGCGTACTGTAAATTTGGTTGTCCCTAACAAACCTTCAGGCTATTAGCGCTTACACTTGACTACGCTCCGGATTCACAGACAGCTGGTCGTCGTCGGGGACACAGGTTTTTTCTAGGCGTACTATACTCCTACGTTAAATCCCACCGTTACTAGATCATAGTTTCTTTTGCGTATTCAGCATCTAACTTCCCCTACGTTTATTTGTGGCTGGGATCGCTACGCTTGGCTAAACTGTTTGTCTCATGTGGAGGTTTCTTACCCTTGTCATCCAAACTTACACTCAGGCTCTAACTATTGCAGCGGCGATAAAGAAAACTTATTTTCCCTGCGATTGCAGTGATTCTTTTGCTTCATCTGATGACAAAAGCTTCGCTATCTAACTGCACATTTCTAGAAAACATTGCAGTATGTTCATTGCTAGTTAGGATTTGTGTAACTCGGCGCATGCATGCGTCTGGAATCCAGGACTCAGACGGCGCCAATGAGTCGCATCTGCATTTTGGAGCAGGGCGACGCGCCTGGAATCGAGCCACTGTGCTGAATACTGGTCTAGTTTCCATACCCAGTATCGGAACGAACATGTCTCATAATCCGGATAGTTGTGTTTTTGGGTCACAGAACGCTGTGCTTACTGTCGGTATTACGCATTTGAACCATACGCGTACACTTAGGCTTTTGCACCGTTACCATAACTGCATCGGTCTTTTTGGCCGGTGGCCGAGTGGTCTGCACGTTTGGTTTGCAACCATAAGATCACCGGTTCGAATCCGCGTAGGGGTGAGCGTCCTCGCGGTATACAGCCCACGCGCGACTGGTGGTGGCGCGGCAGCGAAGTGCCGTTACGGCGTACAGCTGACACACTCTCACTGGTAAACAGCATAATCGAGGCTGGACCTTACCGTGGTGCGATGGTTTGCGTGCCTCAGAGATCCATTGAGCTATGCTGGGTGGTGCTTTTGCACCTTCAGAGCCACTCATACCAGATTGGTCAATGGTTGGAGGCCAGACAAACTCGGCCTCCTGGTCCTCCAGGTTGGGGGTTGGAATGGGGGTGGCTCCTCATTTCATAAAACGGGCTCTGTAGTCCAGTGCCAAAACCCGCTGCCTTGCGGTAAGGTTTTTGAACCAAAGGCTTTGGTTGAGAACCCTAATCGTTCTGCTGTCTAGGCCTGCGCAACCTGACAGTATTCTGCCCACGCAATACAATGAAACTTTCCTACAACAATTTCGTGATGCTCTGGCCACCGCAGAGGATAATCAACGGCGCCCTATCTGCTGCATCGAGCAGGGTGGATAGGGGTATGGATGCTACTGCTCAGGCCTTCCCGTCTTCTTATACCCCTTCTTGCGCTTCTTCATCCTTATCGTCCCGTTCCAACTTTACTTATATCCCCCCCATTTTCAATCCCCCAATTCTTGGCCCTCCCCCAGCTTTCTTCAGTAGTCGCTTGTCTTCTACTTTCAAATCACACACAATCCCAGGACCTCGCTCCAATCCAGTTGACAAGTCCATGTTCAAGCAAGCGGACAACGTCAGTTCATCTGCTTCCATTTGGAGCCCTCGATCCTCTTTCAGACTGGCATGCTTCAACGTGCGCACTTTGCTACAGATTAGCCAACAGGCAGCACTTGCCCGCACACTAGAGACCCTATCGATCGATATTTGCTGTTTATCAGAAACCCGCCTGCAAGCTTCGAGCTCCGTACTTACCCTGAGATCCCCCACATGCGACACTGGCGGCATATTCTCATTGCGCCTGTCTGGCGATGATGCAGCTTCAAATGCCGGTCAAGCTGGCGTCGGCATGGTTTTGAGTCCCCGGGCTGAAGCTGCTCTGATTGATTGGATCCCAGTAAACAGTAGGATGTGTGCCGTTGCAAATGACTGTATCAGTCAGATCAACAAACACCCGTTGATTCCCTGCTTACCCTTCTCTTTTATTGCCCACTCCGGATCTGCCTGCCCGAAAGCTCACCGCTGATTAGTGGCTCCACTGATACATCGATGGGTTGGAGGTCCGGGCTTCTGTTATCCTCTTCATCCCATCTTGGCTCACTATACTTCCCCTTGATTTTACTTGGCTCCACTGCAACCATGTGTCAGTTGAATCACTGGCAACTTGGTTAGCTGGACTCCCAAATCCGGTTAACTATCTCTCCAATCGTAACTTCACTTCCGTTTCACCCGCTGGCACACCTACCATTCGTTTGTGAAAGCACTGACGCTTTGGTAGGTAAAGCACCCGGATCGTTTCTTTACATCT